TACTTGCAGAAGGATGGGAGCAGCATAGTGTAGTAGAGCTGTTAAGGGCTCAGGTAGCAGAACTCAAATCCTGGCTTGGACAAGTTACTTGAACTTTTATAGGTCTCGCTTTTCTCATTTATAAAATGAGGAGTGATAAGAATTGTTGCTGCAGAGATTAAATGAGATAATGCACACAGAATGCCTAGTAAGTGCTTGGTGAGTGTTAGGTTTACAAATCATAGTTTCCATCCAGATCTACTTACTACGTATACGACCTTGAGTGAGTCACATCCTCATGGAACCTATTTTCCTCATCTGCAAAATGAGGATAATGACATGCCTCACGGGCTCATCATAAGCATAAATGAGATAATAATGTAAGTGAAAGTGCAGTCCAAATGTGCCAATTTTATAAGTTTTATAAAACTCATGGGGTACCTTCTTTGGCCCGTGGTCCGGCTCCCTTCTTAAATGCAGCTCATCCTTCCTCCTTCGTGCCATCCCTGTACTTTTATTATGACACGGTATGCTTTGTAATTATTTATAAGCCAGCATCTCTTAGCAGGCTGAGAGCTCTTTGAGGGCAGGGACTGTGTGTTCCTGCTTCACCTGTGTACCCCTTGAGTGGGTCTCAGTCAAAGCTCAGTAAACGTTGAGTGACTGACAATGAGTATAGGCCCCGCCTTCTGGGAGTTTGCACGTAAGGCACTAGCAGCTTCCTGTGGCTACTTAGTCCTGAGCTTCCTGCCTATATTACACAGACAGCAAAATCCCAGTTGCATGTAGGCTTCTTGTTGTTGCCCAGTGGTACACACCTGCACTAGTCTGCCAGTTGTTTGTAGAGAATACAAAACCACATTTGTTATTTAAAAGAAAAGACCTCTAGGGTTCTATGTTGACCCTTTCTACGTTGTTCCTTTTGCACAGAGATGTTTGCTTGAGATACAACTGGGTATAAATGATTGCATTTTGTAGTCAAGTCGTGCTTAAATGTGTTACTGTGAGAGTCTCCAGGCTAAGATTTATTGTAGAGGGAAATGGATTCCTCTTCGTTATCTTAAAAAGAGGGAGGACATGCAGGCCTTCAGTGGACTGATTATGGATCTGGGGTTTTCCAAGGCGGCTCTTGACTCCAGCTCTGTCCTAACCCTTTGCCTAATTCACTGGCCAGGGGCTACACTTGGGCAGTCATTTTTGGGGCAATATCAAGAATATCTACATAATCTTCTCTCAAGCCCAGAATCAACATTTTTTTTAAAAATTAAGAATGATTGTGGCATTCAAAGAGTTTGGAGGCAATTTTTTTATAAGTAATATATTGGATGGTAGCTGAGAATGCAGCTAGGCTTTTTATATTAAGTCCTATGAAAATAATTCCCCGTTTTGCTATAATTTGGAGTTTTCCTGGAATATAATCTTGACATAAAATATCATGTCATAAAAAAATTCCCAAGTAAAGAATGAGTTGGGGATTATTTTTTCTTCAGGATTACAGATGTCGTGAATCCTCTCCATGTTTTAAACATAAGTAACTGAAGTCGCTTCAGAAGATGCCTTTTGCTTATAAGTTAGTTTATCAGCGAGTGTTTAGGTTGTCCACACATAATTTAGGTGAATATGGTCAGATGGATTGCCCAGGATCTCAGTCAGATCTAAGATGGATTCTAAATGGCCCCAGAACAAAAAAGGAGGGTGGGGAGAAACAGGAGAAGGAACTTAATGAAGAGCTTCTTTCATTTTCAGTGTGACCTTTTGTCAAACTACGAGCTGTGTTGCGTTGATTAGCAACTTGAGGTAAAACACAATGGGTGGAAAAGCTGTTAATTTTTAGAAGTTAAATTGTTGTTAGAATGATATCAAACCTTGTTACTTTCTTCTATATCAGATCTTCTGATTTATACTCTGGTTTTACACATTAAATAAAGACTGTTGGATTTTGTTAGAAGAGAATTTATACACTGTTACCTTATTATTTGTACACTCATAAAATTATAAAACCTGTTTGCCTTCAGATATATTCCCCATCTTCTCTGCGCTGCTTCATGTTATGGGGTGGGAGCAGGGCTGACCCAGAGGTGTCAGAGACTTTTGGCTCATCCAGTGGGAGGCACTGGCGGAGAGGAGAGGATGGCATAAAGGGAGAATCTCTTTGCATCAGGTGACAGCCCTGAAAGCAGCTGGGGTCTAATGTGAGCTCCCACCAGCAGGCTGGCCTTCTGTGGCCCAGCTTCTGCTGTTGACCTCAGCTCCTCCTTTTGTCCCCCCACCTCACTCTGGTAGAGGCTTCCTGCTGTTGCCAGTCCTTAGGTTGCCTCTCAGTCCCATTTGGCTGCTCTTTCAGCGCCTGGGAAACCCATTCCTGATATTACATTTTCTGTTGTTGTTTTTTTTAAAGATTTTTATTGGGGAATTGGGGGGATGGGAACAGTGCTGGGGAATTAGGGGAAGGGGAACAGAGAAGTTGCTGTCGTTTTGTTCTTCAATCTAGTTGTGGAGGACATTGCTTCACTGGCCCAAGTTGGCACCATCATTGC